ACAGTATACCTCATCACCGATAATAGAGATCTGTTGGCAGCAACTGTCTCCAGCACTGCAGGGCTTAGTCACTGGCCGATGGTCGCGGCATGGTGGAAGGAGCGGATACAATATGTAGGCCCGTATGGGGAACGTACCACTGTGGTATTTGTGCCTATATCGGCAGACACTGGTCTGTCTAAAGTGCATCCAACGTGGGCAGGAACCTATATTCTTGATGCGTGTGTCTTTCTTTTCCCAGATATCAACTTTGCTCTCATTGATAGTGACTGTGTGCCAGTTACATTATTCGAGATTCAAGAGCTATGGCTTTCATGCGCGGAAACTGACTCCCCTGCAGATGAAAGCCGGCATCCAGCAGCAATCCCGAGTAGTCCAATTGCTCCTGCACAGAAAAGAGCGAGATCAGTTGACACGGGTCAAGCCACGCAACAACAACCGGGCCCTCCTATCAAACTGCCCAAGTCGCGAAGCGTCGAAAACCTGATGGCTAGTACTGGTAGATCGCCAACTCCTATCCAATCCGGGAATTTCGAGGATGAGGTTGACTTTGGGGGATCCGAGCCATCGAGCCCACACTCAACAGAAGATGAAAAGAGCCACAACTCCACGCCAACGGCTCAATCGTGCCAAGGATCGACTGATAAGCAAGCTGCTGCTGAAACATCAAAACCGGTTGCCATTAAGGGCATCATCCTGGTTAGTGAAGCCTTCACGGAAATCAATGCTGGACTGGTTATCGTGTTGGCATCTCGGCATCGCAGCCCAATTCCAGAGTCTGACCTGGTAGACCCTGATCGTGACCCTGACGAACTTGCCACTATTGCCAGCAGGGCCTACCGTGACCATGTGGATAGCTACCTATCGACCACACAACCGCCCTGTGATACGGAAACAGCTGTTTCTAGTGGACTGCTAGGATCGCCACTTCTAGGCACGACCACTCGATGTGCAGCTGACTGGTGTCATGCTTGGAGCATTTTGGGGCAATGGTCTGGCTTAGTCACGTTTCCAGTGCCGGCAACGGGGCAGTGGCCTCGCCACGGGCACTTGAGAGGAATTCTTGATGGATTCCAAGGCAGACAGCCCAATTTTCATAAATGGGCCCGTCCTGCTTACGAGCAAGGAGCTCTGCCAACACTCAGTCTCCTCCCAGGTTTAGTTACGATCAAAGTGCTCCCAGGAGACAAGATGTACCAGGCCATGGAGATTGAACCGGGCTTTATGCGGCCCGTCATATTGCATGGTTTTGGAACAAGGGCTAAGCAACGGCTACCATCTCGACTTGAGGACTTGGCGCAGTTTGGCTGGCTACCATTAGCAGCAGCCCTTTTTGGGACAGCGGAGTGGCAGCCACAGTGGCTCCACCACAACTTTCTCCCAGTTATAGGACTGCGTGTCCATGCAAAGCTTCCTCCTTCTCCGCTGTCGTATCAGCAACTAGTGGCGTTATTAGGTGTGTGGGAGCGAAGACCTGCCCTGGGAACCCCTTGCCGTGCTCTTGCCCAGGCTGCTGTGCTCGCATTTGGTCTTCCGACAGCCTTTCGAGCACCAGAGGAGTGGACAACCTCAGTAAAGGGAGAAGTCTTTGATCTCGTGCAGTGCTCCCAGCGGATCTATACGGGTGAGGCAGCCAACACATCGCAAGCGTTTAATGTACTTGTTCATTGTGTTTTGCAAGGAACTTCTTTGTGTTTCTATTCCATTTTGGCTCAAGGACTTTCATTTGTGCGTATACATTTTTCGTTTTTGTCTGCTCAGCCAACAGTTTTCTTTTGGACATCTGTAGCAGGCATTAACATTGATCAGTTGCGTTTTTCCGGTCATGCAGATATTTTCAGAGTTTCATGTTTTGTCGTTTTAGATTCACAGACACCGGGCGGTCCCGGGCGGCATGGACGGAGCGACGGTCTCGGTGTTATCACTAGAACAGTAGATTACTGCACTTCTCCTCATTGTCAACGAGTTGTGCCATCGTTTTCGTATCCCTTTATCTTCAGCATCATCTGTACCATTACAAACCACACCTGATTTGGAAAATCCTTCAGGGTCACCCATCCCCGAACGTGGATCGTGTGGTGCAAAGTGTCGCTGGTGTGATTTACCCTGTGGACGTGCAAAGCCGGGTCATACGGGGCATAGTTGCTATACACATCGGCATTGGCGTGATGGATAATTCCATGGATGGTTGGTCACTGGTACAGAGTGTTGAGGGTTCGTGGGACACGAGTTCAGTGATTTCACCGCCGTTGCAATCCAGGCCGAAGTCTGCTCCATTGCAGCGGGCACCCCTACAGCAAGGTCCTCGCCTGGTGTCTCCATTCCAAGTGTCTGCATTGCATCCGGTGGTCACGAGCACTATGGGGTGTTCGGGACAGTCCTCAGCTCAGCGACATCCAGGTATCCTGAGGGTTTCAGATTTAAACCAGGGGGTTAATGTTCCTCCCCCCCATCCATTTCCTGTTGATTCTATTCGCATTGTACCTGGGGTTACTCCTTTGCAAATTCCCCCAGAAAATTTACCTGTGATTCGGAGCTGGACGACGTTGCAGCAGAGAGTTGCACTACCTCAGCCTCAAGGATGTTTGGGTTATTCCGAGTCAGTACCAGTTGATTTTGTGCCTAATCGGCCTTCTCCAACGTTACTGCATCCTCCCAGACGTCAATCAGGGGCTATTAGCAGAGTTCGTTTTTCTAGTGCGTCACCGGTGCTCGGTCAGATGTGGTTTGATTTGTTATCACAGCTGGGCCCACTATCCAGAATTTGGCAAGAGACGAGTATGTCACAGCATCAACGTATGCATTTGAACCGAATTTTGGACAATGTGGCACCGGGCACGGCTATGAAGTATATTTCCAGTTGCAAGTCCTTTTTCAAGACCTGCAAAGCGTTACAAGTGGATCTGATATCCCTTACTGAGGTTCAACTGGCAGACATTTTAATCACAATGTCACTGTCGAGATCTACATCTCATGGCAGTAGTTCTTGCAGTTCAGTCATCAAAGCACTTCGATGGCTATTGAAATCAGCAGAGGTTGGATGTTTACAGGTGGTGCATTCAGTTCTTATTGGAACCTTTCTGAACCAGAAGGTGCCCAGGGATAGGAAACAAGCACCTCCTCTGCCTCTGTGGGCATTGGTGCAGTGGGAGCGTCGTGTGCTCATGTCCAACTGCACGGTATTAGAAATCATTCTACTGGGTACATTTTTATTGATGGCCTGGGGATCCCTTCGTTTTTCCGATGCGCAAAGGTTAGACCTCCAAAAGATCATCTATCACGATGGTACCATGCGAGGGGTGATATGGCGCTCCAAGACAGCAGTCAGCGGCATGCCCCTAGCAGTGGCGGCGGAGGGTTTCCTCAGCAAAGGCTCCCACAACTGGCTGTGGAAGTTCTTGACGGTTTTGGATACGGTATTGGCCAAATCAGGCCTCTCCGAGGTTGATTTTCTTCTTCCACTGATGGATGAGGATGGACCAGTTTATCCATTGCAACCGATGGATTATGCTACAGCGTTATTTTACCTACGGAAATTTTTGGGTTGCCCCTGGAGTCAACGACCAGACCCCTTGCAGCATTTGAAGTTGAACTTCACTTTGCACTCCCTCAAAGCGACATTATTGTCGTGGGGACCCCAGCTGCATGAGAAAGTTACCCCTGAACAGCGTTTGTCTCAGGGACACCATTCGGATCCCAATAGCAGTTTGGACACATACTCACGTGACGTGGTGTGGACGTCCTTGACGTATCAGCGCAAGATGATACAAGAGGTTCAGAGTGGATGGCGTCCAGCCATTGCCCAGCATCGGGGTAGTCAGGCTCCTATGGTCGAACCCAAGGTTGTTTTGGAGAAATTTGTCAAATCTCTCCCACAGTTTGATTTTCAGTGGTTTCAATTCAATGCGTCCTCTGAGACACCAGCTCCAGATTTTTTGGAGTCATCGACCAGCAGTTCTGAGAGTTCATCGGACTCATCGTCGGATGAAGAGGTTATGGAGCCTCGACCCAAGACTTCCAAGGTGGACGTGGTACCTTTGGATGTCGATGAAGTCCTGGTGGGACGATATCGATCAGTTGTACATGCACTAGTGCGTGCCGGCGATGATGAAGATTGGCATCCTCGGTGGCAAGGACAGCCTCTCAAACCTGCCTGTGGTAGGCAAATGCGTGGTGTGGAAGCCGAGATCTTGGATAGACTCGACTCGACTATGCCGTTCTGCCAGCATGCAACATGCAGGAAGGTTTGGCACAATTGTCAGCTCCTGCAAGGATCTGGATAGGTCCCATTCCAAGCGGTATGAAAAATTTTGTGCTTGGAGTGTTTGCCAACGGGTCGGTGACCTGTTGGGTGCAGTCGGTTTTCCCTGGTAGGGTTAACCGAGTAGATCCATATAGGGTACTTTTTGCGTTATTTTCCCCTCTTTTGACTAGGGGAGGGGTTCAGATTTTTTGTACAATAGGGGATGGTATCCCCTAACATGTCAACGGTGTTGGCATTACATTTCAACCGGTGGTTGAAGGGTTACTCACGGTGTGAGTTGAAATGACAGGTTGTCATGTTATATTCAACCGGTGGTTGACTATGGACTCACGGTGTGAGTACCACAATGACCGGTGGTCATTCAGTTTCTCAACCGGTGGTTGAGGTTATTCGCTCACGGTGTGAGTCTTACATTGACCGGTGGTCAATTCATCATTTTCTTTTTCAACCGGTGGTTGAAGCGGCACTCACGGTGTGAGTGACGTGTCATATCGTCATGGTTGCCGTCGGTGATGGCTCGAGTGAACCCGGTGGGTCAACAATCAGTTGTGCAACAACATGCACTTAGGTTAGGGGTTCCACTATGGAGTATCCACCCCTTTCATGGTTAGTCAAACGTCAAATGGCGCTGTCAAGTTTTCTTCTGCAAGTTTTTGCTTTTCCCCTCAACATAAGGGATACTGTTTGTGGTTCGTGGCTCCTAAGCTATTTTCTCCTTTGTCTACGTGGTGGTGCCATGGCGTCTGACAATTTGGAAGATGTTTTGATACAGAGTGGGGTGGACTCGGCCCTCACGAGCTCACTCATGATGGAGGGGTGGTCCTGTCAATCGTTTCGCATGGCAGCAGCTGACATTCATGGATTTGAAGATGTTCTCCAGGAATGGTCGTCTTCTACTCCTTTGTCGGCATTCCAAAAGGCGTGCCTCCGTACGGCATTTCAGTCTCTCCAACCTCAACAAGGACCTAGTGCATCGGCTGTGTCAACCCCAACATTGAGCACTACCACGCCAGCGGGGTCTTGGGCAGAAGCCTTTCCTCCCAAATTGGAGAATGCCGTATTGCAGGCGATGAAACAAAAATTCATGGCCAACTATCCATCGGAATTGATCCATGCAGACCTTTTTCCGTCGACCAGATTAGTGAGCCTGGTTCATGACCAGCTCTCCAAGAAGGTTTGGAAATGGGTGCCATGGAAGTATCGCATCTCGCTCACCAGGTCAGAGGAGATTTCTAGCAATCGAGCTCAGAAGATGCCAAAAATTGACCACTTGGGGTTACACTCCTTATTATTTGATGATCCTCCCTCAATCGACGTGTCCAACAACGCCATGGGGGTGAACTCGATTCGCAATATGCTCGAAGTTCATGATCGGGCCATTGCCTTGTGCCAAGGCGCTCACCTTGCCAATCTCAAGGCCTATACCCACAAATTCATCGGGTTTTTGACCGCCAAGTATGATGGAGATTTACGTAACACCAGTGTATTGGAGGCTCAACATGCGGACCAAAAAATTTGGACAGTCATTGCCGAGCTCATGGAACGAGGATGGAACATGGATGACTGCTTGCATGAAATGACGAATTTACGTCATGACCTACCAAGTCTCCTTCAACCACGACCTCGCGTGTTCAAGCCACTCCCATCACCATCTTCTCAGACAGCTTCCCCTCGGGGTGATGGACCGAAAGGCAAAGGCCAAGGGAAGTCAAAGGGCAAGCAGAATTCCGGGAAATCCAAGGGCAAGGTCCAATGGCTCACGGAGATTCAACGGGATGGTGGCTTCAAGCAACTCTGCATGCGATATCAGGTGGGCAAGTGTCAGACTCCCAACTGTGGCTTTCAGCATTTGTGTGCGTACCCAGTTGATGGAAAAGCCTGTGGCAAAAATCATGGGGCGATGTCCCATTTTGCCACCCCGCACTGACTCCCCGAAGGAGATTGTGACCCAGGTTTCACCATGCATGATCCATTCAATGAGGTTGACTCCGTAGAGACTCTCCCAGTGCATGACGTGGACCCAGTTCAAGACTTCGCTCCACCTAGTGATAGTTTTACCCGGGGCCGTTTGTCCCAACCCGAGCAGGCGAATGCGGAAACAGATATCACTGCCACCGTCCCCGTCACAGCGAAATCCTTGGTTTCCTCTACGTCAATTCCACCAACCATTTCAACTTCAATTTTAAAAACAGTTCCCTCAGGTAAATTTTTTCTCGATATTTGTTCAGGTGTTACACGTCCGTTATCGACAGCTGTATTGGAGCATGGCCACTCAGTTCTTTCCTTTGATGTTTTATTGGATTCTTCTATGGATATTTTGTCAGATGCGGCCTATGAGGATCTGTTGCGTGTCGCATCCAGTGGTCAGGTTGGTTATGGAGCGGCCAGCCCTTCCTGCTGTGAATACAGCAGACTCAAACTTCGAGATGATGACGGTCCCAAGGCTCTACGATCACCAGAGCACTTGTCTGGTCTGCCCAATCTCACACCCTGGGAACTGCAACGTGTCCAAGAGAGCTTTATGATGCTCTCTCGCTGCGTTGAGGTCCTCACCCTGGTTTTTCAAGCAGGCGGGCACGTCCACCTTGAACAACCCTTGAACGCCATGTCATGGTTAGAGAAGGTAGTACGCCAATTTCTGCAATTGATTGGGGCTTCCTGTATCAACGTGGCCGCTTGCGCCTATGAGATGGATATTTACAAAGCCTGGATGTTTGCCTCGAGTTTTACAGGTCTTCGACCATTAGGCTGCATTTGTCAACATCCCCCTAATTCTCATGTTCGTCTTCAAGGTCTCCGAGACGATTCTGGTGCTTTTGCCAGTAGGGCGACGGCACAATACCCACTGAAACTGGCACAATTGTTTGCCAATCTTGTGGCCCCATTACTGGACACATCAGGGTTGGACCTCCAATGGTCAGATTTGGATGCCCTCATGCCCACCAAGCAACTGTCGGAGTATCCATTTTCGCAAATCGATGGGGGTGGAGCTTTTTCCCACCCGGACTGGAGTCAGGATAATCGTCAAGAACACGACTGGTTCAAGACTCTGCGTACTTCGTGGATGAACAGGATCATCTCTGAGCGGTTGGATAAGATCCTACTGGCGCATGTGGCTTCGGGCAACCCGTCACCGCCTTTTTCGGTGGAAATCCTGACCCCATTCAAGGCTGATCTGGAGCAATTCTTGGAGGCACATGGACATACACCAGATTGGTCAGTTCGACAACATCAACCAATACATCTTCATATTTTACATTCTTTCCAAAAGATTATGCATGACGTCGATTTTACATTATTGCCCAGTCTATTAGAAGGTGTTCGAACTGGTTTTTCCACAGCGATTCCTCCGTCGGGTATTTTTCCACCCAAAGAACGTACGGACATAGAACCCGATCCATTGTCAGCTCACCTTTCCAACTGGCAGAGCGCTGAAGAAGATCTACCACTCACCCGAGAACTGGTTCAGGAAGAAATTGACAAGGGTTGGGTGTTTCCGTATAAAGGTTCTTTGGAAGAAGCACAACAAGAATATCCGGCCGGAGTTGCTATTGGAAAATTGGGCGTGGCTCGCTCGGATAGTCGAGCCCCCCGATTAGTTGTAGACTCCAGCGTATGCGGCCTCAACGGTCGGTGTATCATACCTGAGAGGTCCACCCTCCCGACTGCCAAGGAGGTGTTACGTAGCTACCCTCTACGTCAGTGTCAGAGGAATCTAATGGGCTTTTCTTTAGACGTTAAGGCTGCTCATAAAAGAATAGTTCTTCATCCGGACGAATGCGGATTGGTGGGCTTTTCGCTAGAGGGACAGCTTTTCTTCTATAGAGTTACCCCATTTGGTGCAATTTTCTCTGCCTTTTGGTGGGCGAGATTGGGTGGCCTCCTTCTCCGGATCTTTCACCATTTGATCTGGTTGAGTCACGCTGGATTTCTATATGTGGATGACTTCTTATTCTTTATGGAAGCCAACATGATGCCGCTGTCAGCCACATTGTTGTGTATTTTCTGCCAGCTTTTGGAAATTCCTATCAGCTGGAAGAAGACGGCCATGCACTCTTCCATTGACTATATTGGCTGGAAATTCAATTTCAATGCAGGTATCGTGACAATCCCCATTGAAAAGATCCTCAAACTCCGAGGATACATCGAACATCTTATTTCCCAGCCACGAACTACTCGTAAGTCTTTGGAGAAACTTATTGGCCTGGCAATGTGGATTACTCAATTATTTCCACTTATGCGGATCTGGATCCACTATTGGTACCACGATCTCTACACCATCCCGGCGACACATTTCAGTATTGATGCTGGTACATGGCCTCGCATTCATCAATATTTAACACCTACTTTGACTTTTCATACAGCACCTTTGGGCTCCGCTATACCTATTTCAGGTAAGCTCATTGCTGTTCGACATCAAGCGGTATCCTCATTGGCGGATCTGACATCGTTACATATCAAAACAGATAACAGGATTTGGCTACGGATTATCAATCCGAATTCCTCCAAACGCAAGCTTCGTCCTGATTCTCTTCGTATTTTGAAGTTATTTGAACATTGGCTGATGGGTGTTTCTCCATCTCGACCAATGAGAGCGAAGCCATATTGGAATGGCGTTGCGGCAGCCGATGCATGTGCATCGGGTTCCTATTGTCAAATTGGAGGTTTCATCCGTCATCCTTCAGGAGTCCAATTTTGGTTTTCTGAGAAATTTTCCCATGCTGATTTTGACATTTTGTCAATTCATTTGGACCCAAATATGCAACGAAGCATTGCTTCTTTTGAAACTTTAGCCCAAATTGCTTTAGTTTGGCTGGTGGCCACATCTTTTCCCGGTTTTCGTATTCCTATTTGTGTGAAATCCCTGAGCGACAATACGGGAGCAAAGAGCGTGAGCAACAAATTATTCACTACGACTCATCCTCTATGTCTCTTTGTCGAGATCCTCACGTGCCTGGCTTCGACAACGGGTATTGAATTGGATGTGAGCCATATTCCTGGCGCGGACAGTGTCACAGCGGATGATCTGAGCAGATGGGATTTTTCCACTCCCATCCCACATGATTTTCAACCAAGTGAAAGGATTCATCTTTCACTCAATCAACTATTTCGTTGTTCACCTCACCCAACATTGCATCCTCCTGAGTCAAAACTCCTTTGGAAACTCCCACATCCTCTTGCGATGTGATCTGCTGGAATGGTTCTCACTTCTAGTTTGGGCGTACTTGGGCGATAACCATTATACCAGATAGTTGTTGTTTGGGTTGTTGATGCCATCTGGTCGAATGGTTTCGATTGAAGTGTGGTCGAATCCAAACTGGATCCAACAGTGGGACAAACCATCCAGCAGATGAAAAGGGAGTGCGTTCTGAGATCGGAAGCGAGACATGGTCAAGCGGGAGGATTGAAGTTTCAGTTGTTTTTTGTGTTTTGGTTTGTTTGCGTTCTCTTTGCGGTTTCTAGATCTTGTCTCAAACAAATGAAAGTCCTTGAAGAACGCCAAATTGTTCGCAAAATGTGGCACCAAAAATGGGTCCGCCACACAGCCCCATTTTTGGAACCTATGGGGGCCATTTCTGAGGCCGTCCCGAAACAAGGTTCAATGGAATTGGGGGGCCAAAATTGGGTACCCCAAAAACACAAATTGAGACCCAAAATTGGTGCCAATTTTTGAGCCCCTCTTTTGACACCATTTGCTTACCGCGTGATGCTATTTCAAAATACATTAATCCAGCGTGCCAGGTTGAAACATGGGAGGCCCACATGACGAGACCGTTTTTCCAACCTAAATGAAGCCCCATTTCCAGGCCCATGAAACCACGCAGAAGTCAAAGCCACATCCCAAATTCCGCCTCGTGTTGTTCAAAAAGCTCCGCTGCTGATACGCAGTGGAAAATACCTGATATGTGTGTGCGAGGGTGTAGTCTTGCGTCAATGTGATTTAATTATAAGGATGAGCGTCGTTTGGCGTTGGGAACCATTTGATGCAAGGTGAACTTGTATTTTGTGAGGTTGCGCTTCATTTTGTATCGGATTCTTTGCATATGACACCTGCATGTTCATGGTGATCAGATTACCATGCACATATCTATGTATATTCTCTGCTGTTCTGGTAAGATTGTGTATATTCTATTGCGTTGCCAATCGTTGTGTATATTCGGCAGAGTGCGATGGATGCGCTTGTCGGGAGTGTCATGTTCATTGTTCGACCCGATGGTGTGAGAGTTGCCAGTGACAATGGTATCTTTTAAAAGTCTGTCACTAAAGACTTTTTCCTTTAAATGAAGCAATGTTTTCCCTCAATGCAGGAGTTTTGCAGAGAAGTAACATTAAACAAGAAAGCTTTTCTTAATTAGCAGCAACTTTTGGAACTATGCCATCAAAATACTATTCGGGGGCAGGAGGACCACCAATGTCGAACACAGTGCCATCAGAATACTATTGGCGGACGCGCAATGCCGACACCAATCATCAGAGTATTATTAGCGGGCAGGAGGACCACCAAAGTCGAACACAGTGCCATCAGAATACCATTGGCGGGCGCGCAAGCCGACACCAATCATCAGAATACTATTAGCGGGCGGGAGGACCGCGGGAACACAGTGCCATCAGAATACTATTGGCGGGTGGCAACCCAACACCAGTCATCAGAATACTATTAGTGGGCGGGAGGACCACCAACGTGGAACACAGTGCCATCAGAATACTATTGGCGGGTGCGCAATGCCAACACCAGTCATCAGAATACTATTAGCGGGCGGGAGGACCACCAACGTGGAACACAGTGCCATCAGAATACCATTAGCGGGCGGGAGGACCACCCAAGTGGAACACAATGCAATCAGAATACTATTAGCGGGCGGAGGGACGACGACAGTCGAACGCAATGCCATCAGAATATTATTAGCGGGCGGGAGGACAACCAACGTGGAACACAGTGCCATCAGAATACTATTAGCGGGCGGAAGGACCGTGGGCCACCCCGTTTGGGACTTACAAAGTTATTAACTAGCGGGAGAAGAGGGTTTATCTATGCCCGATAGCGTTGTACACCCGTAGCTTCTCAAACGGGGTGGCCCCGTACACTCCCATGAGTTCCAAAAGTGGCTAATTATGAACAACTTCCTGGTTTAATGTTACCTCTCTCAAAAACATTGCAGCTTCCCAAACGGGGTGGCCCCGTACACTCCCATGAGTTCCAAAAGTGGCTAATTATGAACAGCTTCCTGGTTTAATGTTACCTCTCTCAAAAACATGGCTTTAGGAAGACCTTGTTCATTAATTCTGCTGGGCTCAACCCCGGAAACAAAAAGACGTTCAGGGTCAAGAACTCTGGGAAACAAAAAGAGGTTCAGGGAAATAAAGCGATGAAAATAGCTTCAAATTTCACCCGGATTCTTAGCAATGAAAACGTGTCACCCAATAGTAAAGGTCTTAGGGCTTTAGGGTGGCCTGTGAAGGGCGTGGGCGCCGTACCACAATTTTTTGCGCTGGTTCTCCTCCAACATCTTTGACTTATGCGGTCTGCATGGACATTCCTGCGCACAGTATTCTACAGCAGAACCCAGAAAGACACAAGTGTTGAAAATTGCTGCTGCTGCCAATCCGCCTTTACAGCGCGTCCACCTCACGCCTCAGTACCTCTAAGTTGAGGCCCATTTCTAGCCCTTCAAAACAGCTCATATTTTGGTCGCGTTCATTTGGGCCTCCCTAGTACATGCGCAAACCCGGTTATATGCACGTATATGCACGTATATGCCCACCACGTTGTTTCTACCCCGCTGTCTTGTTTCTATCCCGTTGTGTTCCCGGGGTGTGTTTTCCCTTCCCCCTTCCGTTTGTGCTTCAAATCAAAACTACAAACTACGATCTGTCCATGTGAAAATTTGACATCTGTGGTGAGATGAATCCATTGGATATTTTCTGCATTGGAGGAAGTGAATTTGTTTTTCACCTTGATGGTGAGATCAACCGTGATGGTTGACATCGTATTTGCACGTCTCATCTTCTGCACGTTTTATTGGAGATGACGAAACCCAACAACAATATGCTTTTCGTCTTCTTTGAGTACTTTGATTGCACTGAGAACACAGTGAGGATTTGAATTTGTATAGTGACATGGAAAATCAATATATTTTCCATATCTTTTGCTTTAGTTTTCGCCGGTGAAGTGCACGAAGGAATCGTGAGAAGATCGTAGAATTCATTTTGTGACTTCGGAAGAAGGAACTTTGTTTGACATTGATCGGAGAAGTTTAGTTTGTTTTGTCTCTCAATGATGATAGCGAGAGCAACGTTCTGAAAGGCATTCAGAACTGGAGTTGCTAAAAGATCTGAGGGAGACATCATAGAACATGTTTTGGCGCTTGAAATGTTTCAACAGTTTTCAAACACTCAAACTTATTTAAACAAACAAACCATGTCTTGATGTAAAGACTTTTTGTGAGGACATGTGTTTTTGATCGCTTTTGTGAAGTTGGCAGAAAGATGCTAACGCTTTGATCCCTGGTACAAACATTGAGGCTTTGGTTCAGAAGGTGGAAGCCAAGCTAGGACATGTGCGTTTACAATCCATGCCTGGAGATGCAAGTTTACAACGTGAAGATACAACAAAGGAGCTCTCAGGGGGTGATGCAAGCTTTTACAGAATGGCAGTTGGAGTCTGCCTATACCTCTCAAGAGATCGACCCGACATTGTCTTTCCTGTCAAGGAGTTGGCTTCTAGAATGAGCAAGCCAACCATTGGATCACTGCAGAGTTTGAAGAAGCTGGTTGGATATTTGAAATCTACCCAGGACTATGCAGTGGTGCTTGAACAACCTGTTGGTGGCAGTGGACGATGGAAGCAATCCAACGACAAGTTTTGGATTCTTGAAAGCTTCAGTGACAGTGATTGGTCAGGTGACAAGCGCCACCGTCGATCAACATCAGCTGGCATGCATCTTTTGTGCGGTGCCTACATGTTTGGATCCAGCCGCACTCAAAGAGTCATTAGCCACTCTTCCTGTGAGAGTGAACTCCATGGAATGGTTTCTACGTTGGCTGATGGCTTGTTTCTTCGACGTTGTGCAGAGTTTGTTACAAGGGCCACCATTGAACACTACCTGCTGACAGACAGCAGTAGCGCACGGCAACTTGCTGCCAGACAAGGAGTCGGCAAAATCAAACACCTCAGCGCAAAGATCCTTTGGATTCAGAACTTGGTCCAAGAGAAAGCAATCGTCCTGTCCCAGATCTCCACAGTCTGGAATGTGGCTGACGCAGGCACCAAGGTGCTCAGCTCAAAGAGATTGCGTTTGCTACTCCACCAACTTGGTGATTTTCTGAGGTTTGGAGATGAGCGTGTGGGGCAGGAGGAGTTTCAAGAAACTTCACAACGCGCTGGTGGACGTGACATGGTTCAGCTGGCAAAGATGGTTGCCAGGGCAATTGCAACAATGGGCCTTGGGCCAGCAGGCGCGATGGGTCAGCCAGTATGCTTGGCAGACTCTTCTCCTTCAACTGAAAAGTGGTGGTTCAAGATTGGTGTGATGCTTTTGGTTTTCATCTTGATTGCATTTGCAATTGGATGTTTTGTGGTGCGCCGCTACGTGAAGAGGCTACTTCACGATCTCTACCATCTCTCTGTTCAAGTTGCAGAAGCCGACACAACGATCGGTGAACACATGGTTGCAGTGCCACAACTTCGAAATGAGGTCAATGGTTTGCGTTTGCAGTTGGATGATGTGAGTCAGCGCTGTGCCATGCTGACGACCCAAATTGCACAACAGGAAACAGACATGGAAGCTGTAAGCGATCGCCAAGATGGTCTGCACTATGGTTTGGTTGAATTGGGCGGATACGTTCGAGCCCACGAGTTGACAGCAGCCCAAAGACGCCACATGTACACCCAGGAACGTGGCAATTTGGTTGCAAGGACAACTATGGGTGCAAGCCAGTACCTCAGGACAATCAGAACGCAGTCCAGAGGTTACACCCATGGGGAAGATACAGATCCTCCAGTTGAACCAGAAGTAACTGCTGCCAGTTCAAATGCGGCAGCAGCAACAGCTAGCAGCAGCAGACCCAACAACGAGGTGAATGCAGAGAAGGCCGAAAGTTCAAACCCCACTATGGACATGGAGGTGGACAACAGCATGCTGAACCCAAATCGAGACATCACTACACGTCGTGGAGAACTTGAGGTGA